GATATAAGAAACATATTCTGATCTAGTACATTCCCGTCATCTTCTCATGCCATTGTTTCCTCATCGATGCCTAGGTCTCCTCTCGTAACATTCTCTAACAGATTTTTTTACTTATTGTTTTCCCACGATACCTGTCCGATTGTGATCTTTATTTAAATCGGCATAAAACAGCAGACGCAAGATGTAAGTGGTGGTACTTAATGTTCTATTTTCGCCTGTTAGTTTATCTCTCAGTTTATCTCTCTTGGATGCAAATATTCTCTTCAGCACTTTGCACCTCCTCTTCCCCTTGGTCTCATCTTATAGTAGAACTTTTATAAGATGCATTCTTACAGCTGGTAGATCTGTTTGAGATGGGAGAGTTGGCTGTCGATCTCCACAGGATTAGAGAACATCTAGGGCATACACATTTACGTACCTCGGGATGGATTCGAACGGTCAGTCAGTCAGAGCTCACTGATTAATACAATTGCGAGCCAATTAATACTGTTCACAACCCCACAGTCTCTATTCCTAAGATTCACTATGCGTTTTTCCATTACATTGTCTTCGGGGTTGTCGAAGTGACCGCTTTTCAAGAGATTTTTTTTTTCCAGCAAAATTCTTTACGGATTTCTTGTCTTCTCGTTTGAGATGCATGCCAGGTTCATCGTAGTTTCCTTGATCTGACAAGCACTGAAATACTTTTGCGCTTTCTAAATGATGAAGTTTCTCGGTATATAACAGACTATTGAGCGCGTAAACTGCATTTCTCTCGACTCCAAATATTCTTCTTAGCACTTCGTTCTTAAACATCTGAAGTTTACTTCAGAGCAGGAGACAAAGTCTTAGCCACATAGAACAACTAATGAAGTGTAATTAATGATAGGTTGACACTTGTAGAGGGGCGTCATTCATTGAGTGCATGTGTTAACATATATTCAAACGCAGTTGCAACTTGAAGAACTCTGCATTAACTATGCCGTTCTAAAAACGTATCCAAGCTGCGACGTTGCCAAAATCCGTTTCGTTCTAATCATTAGACATTCTTCAATGTTCGGATCTTAAGCAACGATCTGGTATTATCGAACTGTCCCAGTAGACAGCACGACATATATTGACAGCAGAACAGAGTAACTGCGGTAATAAATTAGTTCACATGAGTTGCGAGCCCTCGTATCAGCTCCTTGCCAAATTCTGGCGCCTATTGTAGCCTGTTGGATCCAGCACCACTGACCGGAAAGGACAGAGCACGCAACTGCTAGCCTTCACAAATTAACTCTATTTTATTAGCTCTGGGACTGTAGTAAACGGATATTTAACACTATTCTTAATTAAGGGTTTCCAAGCTGGTTTCATGAGGACTTTCCGGGAGTTCTGTGGGTATATTTCTTTGATCTCAGATTTCCTATAAAGGAGTTCGCCCTTATATTTACAGATTATGTTACCAGGTAACCTTTGATTGGGTTCCGGTTGTGAACGGGTTTTTTTGACGAGTGTGGAAAGACGTTGCCCTGCTCCAAGTTTCAAATATCTGGTCTTTTCTCTACGTTTTTGCACACCTCACTGACCTTGACTTTCATTTTTGTAGATGAGAGCATATTCTTATATAGGCAAATTTAAATGCTGCGAAGCTAATCACATTGCTGATACGAGAATTATTCTTCCTGTATTTACTTAAATATATAGTGTACCGCATCGAGAAATGTTGATAAGAGTTTTAGATATTAAATCCATAATTTATGTCATATAATATTATTAAAAAAGAAGATCATTTTAAGAAAATCTGTGAAGTTAGTTTGGAGCTTCATGTATAACAGGATTACACTGGATATCAGCAAAATAAAATTATCTCGAAAAAATGTTGGGGCACACTCCAAATACTAATTGTTATCGGAATCCAGAAGTTCTCTTCAAGATAAAACGTGCGATAAGACGAAAGGAGAGACACGACCCATCCATTAATTAAAAATACATTCAGCGGTTGTCGAATTAGACTATGCAGATGGCTGGAGTTTTGCACGAAGGGTTCACTTCATGCTGTTTGTGGAGAGCTCTTATAAAGCGCAAGGAACCTGAGGAGCTTTACGCATTCTCTGGTTTGAGGAGATCGGCGTTCGTGGCAGCGGAATTTTACCCTGGTTTGGCGAGAATAAAACGGCGTGCCTCGTATATATGTCTGTTCTGTCTCTGGATTCTTACACATGGTTTTCCAAGTGAAAATTTGACCAGACTCTGAATCCCATATTTGTTGAAATTCAATTGTGTTTAGCAGGCAGATGAAATAACTCGCATCTACAGTTAGATTCTTGAAGCTAATGATTGGATTTAAAATTGGCAGAAAAATTTTTTTATTGCATCAAGCGCCATTAAAATTTCTATGGCCCAGTAGTTATACATTTGTTAATGTGTGTCGGTTACATTTTTTTGGAAATTACATTTCGTTAAGATACTGAGCTGCCGGTCACGGTAGCCGAGCGGTCTAAGGCATGCACTGTCTTCGCTAGCTCGGAAGCCGGGATCGGGGGTTCGAATCCCACTCAGGGCATGGGTGTTTGTGTGGGTTTTTCTGTGTTTGTCTGCAGGTAGAGGCCTTGCGACGAGCTGATCACCCGCCCAAGGAGTCCTGCCGTATGTGTAAGATCTAGAAAAACCGAAGTGAACGGAGAAGTTCATGGAGGTAGGCCTAGACCCACTGGGGCTGTAGTGCCAAGGAAAAAAAAGATACTGAGCTAGACTATAGAGGCCCATATATTTTCGTGGATTATTTTACGATGCCATTAGCAGCTGGATTATATAACATCGAACAGTAGAATGACAGATGAATGATAAACTGTAACGGATTTGAAAGGAAATGGTCGTGGCCTAACTGAGGTTTTACCCTGGAATTTTCCAGGAAGTACCGAGAAAGACCGTGAAGAACCTCAGTCAGGAACACTGGTGTTACGGTCATGATTCAAACCGAGCACCTCTCGAATACTAGTCAGGAGTATAACCTTGTTCCGTGTTATATATTTGTGTCTCAAACGGCTTAATTACCAGGTGATGATTTATGGATTCGTGGAGCCTCTTGTTCGTAACGTGTGATTGCAGAATCGCTGCGTCACACATCTGCTTCAGGACCAACGGACTTGCTTCCGCCTTGCTCCAATGGGTGTGCTTGGGTTGTAAGCGAAAGGGGAAGTTGGTTCATAACATCTAATCCTTATTGTTTTCATCAGCATCTCATCAACTTCTTAGAGTTTATGAAATGTTCATATTTATTTTTTTTTCTGCAGTTTTGTCTGAAATATTTTAAATTTAATACATATTTGACAAGCTGATTCTACACTGAATGATATGTTTCCTGAAATCTACTCATCGCACGAAAATAAATTACGCGACAAAGTATTTATTTAATTAAATCAAATTGTTTACTGAAATTTGTTTTTGTTTTGGTACTACATTTAGAGCATGGCTTTGTATGGGGCTGCAACTTTGACACTTAGGGCAGTAGATCAGAAACATCTGGAAAGTTTCGAAATGTGGTGTTGGAGAAGGATGGAGAAGATCAGTTGGACCGATTATGTGAGAAATGAAGAAGTGTTATTTAGAGTCAGTGAGCAGAGGAATATCCTACACGAAATAAGAAAGCGGAAGGCTAATTGGATTGGTCATATCTCACGCAGTAACTTTGAAGGAAAGATAGATGGGCGGATAGAGGTGACCAGAAGACGAGGAAGAAGACGTAAGAAGATGCTGGATGACCTTGGGGACAGAAGAGGATATTCTTATTTGAAGGAGAAAGCTCTAGATCGCATTAAGTGGAGGAATTGTTTTGGAAGGGACTGTGGACCTGTCGCCTTGACAGATTACTGATGAATGAATGAATATTTAACGCCATGTGATGTGGACTCTTTGTCACGATTGCATGGCACATTATCGGTTTGTGGATGGAGAAGAAGACCTCCAGATATGGAGGGTAGATGGGAATATATTGAATAACCAGTCGCGGACAGCAGACAAGGGGTGGTCCTTCTACTAGGTGGGTTGGGCATAGGGCTAGCAGCTCCTCGTCATAAAAAAATCAGTCCGTTATGAAATGTTATAGATGTCCGTGAACTTGGACGGATTCTCTGGAATGACTTAAGGTTAGGAAAATGGAGATGAAATTTTACGCTGGTAAATGCAAGTATAATATATAAAATTGTATCATATTATTACAATTACTCGCATTATATTTATAAATAATTATAAATATAGCTAGAATGAATAAGTCAGGGAAGATGAGATTGACAGGGCATATAGCATACATGGAGCGAAGAGGAATGCGTGTAGACTTTTGGGCTGCAAAGGCAGAAGAGAAGAGATCACTAGGACGATCTAGAGGTAGGTGTGAGGATAATATTACGATGGCTCCTAGAGAAATAGGATGGGTGGTATGGACCTGATTAATCTCGCTTAGGATGGAGACCATTGGTGAGCTGTTGTGAACACGTTAATGGACCTTCGGGTTCTATAACATTTTGGGACATTCTTGAGTACCTTAGAGAGTGGAAGAGTTTTAAGGGCTCGCAGAGCCGCCAGACAGTAAAACATGGTCATGAGTCCCGTGGAACTCAAAATCAAGTATCAGTGTGCTGGCGAGGACCAGCAGCAATATAGAAGGCTGTCAGTAGATGAGCGACTGGTGGCTTCTCAAGAACTTGGCTCCATAAATTAATGAGTAGTTATATATTTAACTGTGTAGATAATTATAGAAATGGTGCGGGCCCCCGTTGAATGACAGTGACCAAATAATGTTTTATCCAATTTATCATGTTCCCCGAACATACCGAATTTTATCGAGGTCCACCGAAGAAATTCTACAGTTGAATGGCGCGACAGATGAACGCACAGACATGTACGTATAAGGCGTTCTAGTGAAATACAAGTTTGTCATGAAAGATTGTCCACACAAAAATTTCAAAAACTTTATCGAATTTCATGACATCTTTAAAACACATTAAATTATCATCACTTTGAATAATTTTGCTACTCACCCTCGTGGACCCATTTGACCGAACGCTTCTTCCTATTCACATACATGGACTGGCCCTTGCTTTGCTGGTTGCTGATGTCACTCAGGGATTGGGAGATGCGTCTTGCCAGCTCCACTTGGTCCTCCACTGTCGGGTGCAGGCTGGGCTTGTAGAAACTGGACGAGGCGAACATCTTCCCTGGAGCAGAAAATGCTATTCAGATGCAGGAAAGTGGGCTGGATTATAAGTCAGTGTATTGTGACATGTAGGCGTTTCTAGGAAACGAATTGGCAAACACGTTTCTGCGGAGATCCGATTCTTGGACACAAACAATCGCTGGTTGTTAAACGTGTCTATGGATACGGAAATGGAAGGTATAGCTTTGCGGTGGAAGCAACAAACACTTCCTAGAATACGAGCAAGCAACAAACATTTTCCAAGGACACCGCTGCACTATATAAGCGACCGTTCAGATAAGCATGCATTCGATCCTGTGTGGAGGCGGGGTGGAATACCTGCACCGTAGCCCTGCGATTCGTGGGAGGCGACGATAAAGGGAGATTGGAATCTGAGACAGTAAAATATGGTCACCAGTCCCACGGGACTCGGACCCGAGAATGACTGCGCTGGCGAAGACCAGCAGCAATTGTAAACAACAGACCCGTCCTCTCGTTAGAGAGAGCGCCCCACATCAACAAACCCGCAACTGTCTGACAGTAACAAAAATCTGGTCGTAAGCCCCAGATGGGTGCCTGATTCCAAGAGAGACTGGCCTACTGACCATCGGTAGTAACATAACTTTGACTCAGACTCAGAACGCATTTATTTGCCAGTCATAGTTCAGAGCAGTCGCAGTAGAAGGATAATCAACAGCCAAGTCATTCGTAAATCAGAAGACAGCCGTTAAGTAACTCGGAACCAAGTCACAGTAGAAGGCAGACTAGAAGAGAAGACAGTCATAGTCCAGTCAGAATGGAGTGAGTCGTAGGCAGTCATTTATTGTGAGGCAATTAAGATAGATTGTAAAATAAGGCGTCAATAAATCCAATCAACTAATCCAAAAGCCGTTATTATTAGTCACGGAATCATAAACACGTGACAGTATTTTAAGTTTTGAGCAAATTCACTAGCCTGGATATTAATTTGTAAAACAACTGTAATAAAATATTTATTCTGATTTCTGCATGTAGTCCTACATTTATATGCCGTACCGTTGCACCTTCTGAAATCTAAATATTGAATTCAACTTGAATATAAAAAGGTGGGTTGTGGATTCAGACGATGAAGGAAGTGGGGCATCCTTACCCACAGACGGCGGTAAGGTTGCCAGCCGTACGCGCCATTTATTGTAGGATCCTAATGTGATTTATGGTAATGTATGATCTATGAATACGGGATTGTGCATGAAGATAGATTGTAAGCATTCTTATAAATTATGTATGAAATATTGTATGTTTAGTCAACAAGTACGAATATGGTGACGGTGAGAAAGTTGTAAGAGGATATACATATACACAAAACATGTGTTCAGTTACAGATTTGGCTGTTTCTGTTGATATACGTAAGCCTACACACTGAACTACAACAGAAACCGAGTTATGCTTTTCTTGTTCGTATTGTTCGAAAACTTAGTGTTGAGGAAGATATTTGGATGAATGAGACGTGACTCGAACGGGAGAATGGAAGAAATTACGTAACTATATACTTAATGGCCGGTGGCGCCACATCCCAGAAGACGGCATTCTTCAAAGTCACCGCTGTGAAAACCTGAAATTTTACAAGGAACTTACTATTCCTGGAAGGCGTGGCCTCTCCAGAGTCGGATGCTGGAGTGAACAGCTTCTCCAGGTCGATAGGCTTCTGGTGAAAGAGGCCATCACCGGGCTGGCTGTCATCCTGCGGCAGAAATATGATGTATCAGTAGGACAGCATCGGCGATTCATCAACCTGTTGCGTATTCATACAGTTCAGTCTGTTTTGAAAGGGAGTACTTAGGCGACGTGTTTTTTTTTATGTAGCAGTGCTCGTATGGGTGTATTAAGCAAATATTTGAAACAGCTCTTAGCTATCTCAATTTAATTGCCTAGTAATTCAGGAATGCGAGTTGAGATTACCCCAATAAAGTGACTGGCTTAATCCTACAGAGTGGGCGATTTCAATTCGTTACTTGGTAGGACTATCGCTAACCCGCCTAGTTCCCCGTCAGTAAATCGGCTCAGTTCCATGTAGTGCCGTCCTCTTGTCGCAATAATTATGCACAGTGGCAACTCAAATTTTCGTCTTTAATAATAAGACGGTTCTTCAGTTAACGCATATTATTATAGTGTCTTTTAAGAACACGATGGTCTTACCCATTACGGAAGTTCCTCACCCAATGCCTTTCGAATAACGCGGTACTTTTAGGAATTTCCTCTTCCTGTTAGCCGAGGATTTAGGACGAGGACACACCAAGGAAACTGCGTCGCAATTTCCTCAATTTGTGATGCTCCATTCAGTAACATGTGTTCAACTAAGGCTGATGAAATTTCTTGGAAATTGCGGTTATGTTGCAGTTGCCAGTTTCCTTGATATGCCCTCGCCTTTACTACACTTAGTGAATTGACAAGACTGCGAAGCTACTTTATTCTGTGTTGGGTTGTGTGATTGCTAATTCGTCTTCTCATTTCAATGAATTTTCGGTTTTAAACTGCATGAAGGAACTGAAAGGTGCACTCTGCTGTGGAGTACACAGTGTTTCCAAATGCGACATAGCTATTTTGCTTCTCTCATTCTTCTCGGTTTTCGTTTCTTACAGATACAAATGTTTTCTTATAGAACCAATAAGCAACAGAGATATTGAAAAGTCCTGTCTTTTGGGATATAACGCGTGTAGTCTGTTGAAAGTCAGCCGACGTTTCGGAGGAACATTTCGCCTCCACCTGCATGGCCCAAGAATAAGCCAAGCAAGAAGCAGCATGAAACAGAGTTTGCAACGTTCGTCATACCGTTTCTTGCTTAGTTTATTCTTCGATCCTGAAGATGTAGGCGGCATATTCCTCCGAAATGTTGGTTGGTTTTCACCGAACTGTACGGCTTTGAATCCCAGAAGATGGAACTCTTCATAACCACCACTGGAAGAGCCTCAAATCCTATACAGTAGACATTAACAAAGGTAATTAATAGCATTAACATTACACCGCAAACCGCAGTTGATTTTGTTTCTGAATTTTGTTAGTTTGCAACGAGACGAAAGTATTTCTGATAATTGTTATGGATCTTAACTCGTGAGAAGGTCTCACTATTGTGACTACGATGTGGCTATGGGATATGACGCCATATAGTTTGGTAGAAGTTTACCAAAGTTTCCAGGGAGCTTACTACGAGTATTTCCGTCTTCATCGTCGAAGAAAAGGCCGCTCAAACTAGCAGTTGCTTGCTGCATGCTTGCATGGCTTACTCTTCATTCCTCCAAAATATTAATATACCTCTATGAGGATACACGGCATCACATGCCAGAAGATTTCACTCTTAATTGCAAGCAGTTTGGTTTTGTTTCATACCTTTTGCTGTTAGTGGTTTGGGAGATGAAAGATACGAACAGACAAATAGGTAGACAAGAATTTTCCGTTCCGCATTCGGTTTATATACTAAGTTCAAAGAACGTATAAAATCCAATAAACGGAAATGGCCGACATGTGGGGTCGAGCAGCAGATCCGTTAGCCTGTTCAGCGTCGTTAACATGTTTGTTTGAGGATGTGGTCCCCATGGTGCTGGAAATTTACTGTGCCATTACCCTCTCGTTTTTCCTTCGTCTGTGGCTGCGTTCAAGGCATGATCCTATGTATTTGCAATACGGTATTTACTGGAGGCCATGTTACGTTGAATAATAAATTCTAATAACATGGTTGTGATTTATCTTCGCATTAGGATCCAAATGAATGTAATCTATACGGGACTCTGCTTCTCTCGTCTGCTGAACGTGAAACATATACTTAATGTAAGATAATGAAGTTTTCTGTAGTTTCAAAGCAGCTACGGGAAAATGTCAGGATAATTTTCTTTCCTCCAATGAATCCTGCCCTCTTTAACAAAGTCGCCTGTGTTAATCTGCCCCATATAAGAGGGACGATGGGAGGACGAACACGAGCCTGCACGGTTTACGAATTTAATTATTGACAATACAAAAAAAATTTTTAATTAGCATCAAGAAATTTTATATAATTTTTTTAAAACTTTACATTCCCAGGAAACTGCTGTGTTTGTGAAATGTTCTATTTTGTGTACTATGTATTGTAACATATAAGTGTACGTACTTTACGTCTAAACAACTTATGTGATGGTGGTTTCCTATTTGTAGTGATGTTTGCCCTCTGAAGATGGGCCACAGAGACCGAAACATGTAAGGGTGTTAAGTTTTCATGTAGTAAAAAACTTACAGGTCACATTGGACGGAGTGATTTATATTTGTGTTAATCACATTTTCCAAATCCGTAATATCTCAAAATCATATTTAATTATATCGCTTCACGAGGTAGGGTTTAGCGAAGATTTGTTTCCTTCAATATATCAAAATCTCGCTTAACTATGAGTATACTAATAGTCCTCATAAGATTTAGCGGAGTTTGTTGTAATATTCAAAACCCTACGTAACTATGCAGCTAGCTCCTGTAAGGTGTAACGGAGATTTGCTGTTTTAATATCTCAGAATCCCATTTAACTATACAGCTAGTCCTGGTAACTTTTAACGGAGATTTATTTTTTCAAGATATCATAATCCAACTTAATTCTGTGGCTAGTCCTGAGAAGGTTTAAAGTAGAGTCATCTGCCGTTAGCACTCTCTCTCATTCATTCTTGGAGCTGAGCCCTTCTTGAAAAGCCGCCAATTGTGCAGCTACTTAAGAATTTCCCACCATTTTATGGAACCCGAATGTTCATTACCGTGTTCAAAAGAGCCCTACACTGGTCCCTGTACTGAGACAAATCAATCCAATCCTATCTCTCTAAGATCCATTTTAATATTGTTCACTAACGTACGCCTTGGTCTTCCCAGTGGTCTCTTTCCTTCTGGCTTTCCCACTAATATCCTCTATGCATCCCTCTTCTCCCCCATTCATGCTACATGCTCTGCCTACCTCATCCTCCTTGACTTGATCATTCTAATTATACTTGGAGAAGAGTACAAGTTATGGAGCTCCTCATTATGCAGTTTTCTCCAACCTCCTATCACTTCATCTCTCTTCTGTCCAAATATTCACCTCAACACCCTGTTCTCAAACACCCTCAGTCTCTGTTCATCCCTTCATGTCAGAGATCAAGTTTCACACCCATACAGAACCACAGGCAAAATTATAGTTTTGTATATTCTAATTTTTATGTTGGCAACAATGATATATTGACAAACCTATGCACTGAACTCATTTGTTGTTTTAGTGTCTGGAAGTCTAACTTAAGTATATCACTAGACCTAATCGAGTTCAACGGAGAGACCTCTGCCGTTACCAACACTAATATAATGAGTGCTGAAATCGTTTGTTGTTTTAATGACTCGACATGCTACTTAAGCATACTGCTTGCCCTGGTAAGGTTTACTGCCGTTTGCTGTGTTATGTATTGACGAACCTGCGTATCGAACTCGTAAGTCGATTGAACCTCGTCGAACTCGGACCACACCACGATGACTGGAGGGTGTATCCTCACGTCCTTCATGGTAGCACCGCAGAGTCGCGTCGTCTGAACTCCACGAATACGGACGGCTTTCTGATGCAATATCGCCGTTCTATTTATTTGTCGATCTGAACCGCCTCGTACATACTGCATTTCACAACATATCATATAATAAGCGCCATTTCCGCTTCTGTATCTCAGTAAGATTTAACTTGAAAGTCTTGCTTTAACCGTTATTTCCTTGTAATCTCTTCTTTTGTTCCTAGACATGTGTATCCCGTTGTTAATTACGATAATGAAGCAGCGAAGGGACAGAAAGCGACAGTTCAGTAATAGATTTTCTGATGATGTACCTACCATCTAAAGTCGACCCGTAAGGTCAGAGCATGTAGTTGGTTTTAATAAATACTAATTACATTTGAACTTGTGCCGATAACTAATTAAAGTAAAATTAAGGTAATTTTACTTATTTTCTAGTCCAGAAAATAGATCGTTGTGCATAGAGTAGGCGTTTGTTACGGACTGTCCAGGTGTTCAGCCACTGTACGAGCAGACACTGAACCACGTGGGCAGGAGATAGTTTCTCTTTGCCAGAAATAGTTGTTCAAGATGTTGTGAATATGTCACGGTCCAAATGCTTGGAAACTACAGGGTAGGAATTAAGGTTTGCTTCACTGTGAAATTAAAAGCTGAATATCTTACGAAATGCTTGCTCATGCTTGCTCTCGTGTAGCTTAAGAATTTTCTAATGAATGCTGAGGTAGTCACATACATTCTTATACTTCAGCGTTAGATAGAGATGGTTAGCTTCACGATTCCTCCACCTTTACCCCCTGTACCCTCGCCTACCTTTACACATTGGGTAGGAGAGTTGGCGAGTTGCATAGTCGTTTTAAAAACTGATGAAGAGACAAATCAGCAAAACCTTTTTAGAGAATCGAACCCCTGCCGATACAGGAACTTTGAGTCGTTTAGAAGATGTGAAGCCGTGTAGTCTGGTAGAAGTTTACTGATATTTTGAAGGAAACGTCAATAAAATTATACCATGCTTCACGGTGTCACATCCAGATGAGAGTACTTTTCCTAAACAGCCGTGAGAACCTAACTCTCACGGCATTCGTTTAAACGTCAGGAAATTCTCTCTCCCCTCTCTCTGTCTCTCCTGTAGCCCCCACTTTGGAGCGGAACATTTTGTTTCACTTCAGTTTCTTAATCTTATGGACAGTCGATAGGACCCCTTGGACGGGGGAT